GAAGCAGATTGAGGTATAATGGCCATGGTCCCGGTGGTACCTACATACTTTGACTTATCACGCTGCTCAGGATCTTTCTGCATCTTCCTCGGCTCTACTAGTAAATCCAGATTTGAGTCCTAAATATTGGCCAGGATCTCAGACAAAGGGACCTGTAGCTATGTGAACATGCTGAACCTTTGAGGCTTGTCATCGTTTTGGTCATAATCGACGGCCATAGTCAGGTCGCCGGAAAGAAACACCACCATTCCCTCCGTTGCCATTCTTCTTCTAATCCTTCTTCTTCTCGGTTTTAGTAGGCGAGCCCTTCCTCGAGTACTTGTCATCCTTGGATATCATGATGTCCTCAACCTCTATGAATTTTGTTGCTCTATCCAAGCAACCTTTCAAGGACAGCTTGGCTTCTTCGCTAGTGACCAACTTAACTTCTCATGTGTCACACCATTGCAAAAGGCGAACCAAGCTAGCAGGTTGGTGCAATTTTCGACCTTGATCTGCTCCGAGAGGAAGCACTTAATGTAGTCCCTGATAGGTTCCTTTGGCTTCTGTTGAATTGAGAAGAGATACGTGGTTGAATGCTTCGCGTCCTTGTGGGCTGCGAACTGGGCTATGAAAGCCTTCCTAAGCTGTTTCCAGCTCAAAATTGAGCTGGGGCCAAAAGTCTAAACCACAACCTTGTTGGCCCCTGCAAAGTTATAGAGAAAGCTCTGCACTTCATCGTGTCTGAGTACGTGTGAAAGTCCATGATGGACTCATAGGTCTCCACATGGTTGATAGGATTCTTCGTCCCATCGTATTTGTCGAAGGTTGGAAGTCTGCTCTTTTGCGAGATGGGGGCATCTAGGATGTCCTGGACGAAAGGCGGCTCGTCAGGCTCGTCGTCCTCTGTTGTCCTCCCTGCTTTCTTCAGATCCCCTTTCAACTCGCTCACCAGCTCTCTTCTTAGTTGGTCGAACTGTAGCTGTAGGCTCACATTGCCCACAGATTCTTCTGGATGCTGTCTTCCGAGGCCCCCAAACTTAGGACTTTGGGTCTTACTTTGCCTGTCAACCTTGGAAGGTTGCGGGAAGAGCACAGGTTGGTAATTTTCCGGTCTTGGTAGGTTATTGCCCCTATGACCAGCTTTGATATCGGTTCCTCAGCTATTTTCTTCTGGAGGTACTCGTCCACCTTTTTTTTCCCTTCTTGGGTCATGTTGGACCTCAGGCAGCGGGACCCCGACATTCAGCAACGCTTGGGTCATGGCTTCCAAGCAGGCCTACATGTCTGCCAACTATTACTACATTTGCTCAGACGAGGGCACCTCCACCGGAGTGGACTTCATTTTACGAGCGTCAACTTGGGTCTTCGATTTACTCGGTAGTGGTGGGCGATCATCCCTTCCCGGCCTGCCATTAGGCAGTCGCGATCTCCATTGTCGCTCTCATTACTTCTAGAACGAGAACCATTGCCTTCAGCCATTTTAGAGCAAAAGACTTACTATGCCGGTTTCCCACAGACGGCGCCAAATGTTGATGTTGTTTTCCGATCGAACTTGTACGTCGGTGACGAGCTGACATGGACAGAGCTCCAAGGTGCTGGAAAGTGAACCTGCACAAGGAACAGACACTCCGACGCCCAAGTCAAATATGAGCTCAAAAATTTTAGGTCGTTCTCAAAGAGAATTGCATACCTGACTCATGGGTGGAATGTCCTTTTTATAGGCATGCTGGGGGAGACAGGCCAATTAGTTGGTTAGGATGTGCGGTTATTCCTGCCGGGCACCCATGTCGGCAGTCGAGCCTGAGGTCGGAGTCTCAGGTCGGTTCCGAGCATATTCTCGGCTTAGGTCAGTATGAAGCATTGGATTACGACATTAATTATTAATGTCTCGAGCTGAGAATATGTCCACATGTCTAGTTGATTTTTGACCACCAACATTCCTTAGTCTACAGTTAAACGTATTTTGCGATATCTAAATGGCACCAAGGATCTTGGCATCTTGTTCCAGAATTAGTGCATTGATCTTTTCTGCCTTTTGTGATGCTGATTGGACTGGAGATGCTATTGATCACCGATCTACCACTGACTTTTTTGCATTTGTGGGCTTAAGCCCTATTTCTTGGTCGACAAAAAGCAATATACTGTGCCTCGTTCTTCTACTGAAGCTGAGTATTGGTCTTTGGCCACTACCACTACTAACTTATACTGATTGCACCAACTTTTATGTGACTTGCATGTCTATCTGAAAGACCCTCATATTATGGTGTGATAATGTTTTAGCAATATCTCTTGCCAGCAACCCGGTGTTCCATGCCTGCACCAAACACAAAGAAATTAATTATCATTTTGTTCGTGAAAAGGTCGTGCGCAGCGATATTTCTGTTCACTTTGTGTCCTCCATAGACCAAATTGCTGATCTATTCACCAAGGCGTTGTCTACACGGGCCTTTTTATCTTTCCGTAGTAAACTCATGTTTTCTGTTCAACCTTGAGTTTGAGGGATGTATTAGGTCAATTGTTATAACCTCCTCTAGTTATGATTGTCTTTGTAAATTAGCTAACTTATTCAGTTTGTAAATTAGTTGTACTTAGGTTCTATAAAAAGGCTATTTTTATTCACTTCAAAATCATCTCAATACATAAATTGTTCTATCTTCATCCATCTCTTTTAACTCTGTTAGTAAGGAAATAACTTGCACCAGTTAAACTACAGAATGCAGTTGGTAAAAGTTAGAAAAGTCAAATGAGAAATATCACACAACAATCATATTTTAACAGCTTCTCTCAAACGAGGCAAAGGAGAAATTTGAAGCCCAAATTTGTCTCAAAGAGCCTAAAATCGAGGAACAAAGAAAAATTTGAACCTCAATATCGACAAAGTATTGTAGGGAGCCAAGATCTTTGATGACAAAAATGGTGGATATTGTAACCTAATAGTGGTTCGACCAAATTAGACTTCAATTCCTACCCACCTCTTAGATATTTGACTAAAAAGACCAATTACACTTTCCATAGCTTAAAGTCCCATCATTACAATTGTTCTTTTTTAGGAGAGCAAGAATGGATCTTTCCATGTTTATGATCTAATCGTTACAATGCTATTTTCCAAATTCAAGAGCAAGCTTTGAAAATTTAAAAGTATTTAATATAATCTCACAAACTCACTCAAAAGTGTAGATTAACAAATCTAAGCTCTCAAAATTTGTATGAAAATCCTTACAAATAAAATATCTAAAACAACTATAACAAAAATGAAAATTACAAGTTCAAAGCAAGATTTTAAATGTCGATGTCGATGGAAAGGTCGAGGTTTCAATTTCATGGAAATATTGATTGGAATATCGATAAAATATCGATGTCATGGATATTTCTGTAAAAATTAAAGAAATTAAAAAATCGTAAAAAATATTTATTTGTTAATTTAAATATTTGTCAAATATTTAGTGTTGAGGATTAATTTTAACAAATAAATATTTTTTTTATTTCTAAGTTAAAAATGATTAATTTTAATATTAGGTATATTAGTGACATTTTGTTGATATATATATATATTTTGGAAAATACTTGCTTCCTAATGAGGAGTAACATTGTCCTTCTCACCACTAAATATTTGACAACTCATTATTATTTTAAAAAAGTTTATGTTTTACATTTCTCTCTCTTAATTGTCAAATATTTAGTGGTGGGGAGGACAAGGTTCCTCCTTATTGTTAAGGAGGCAAGGATTTTCCATTTTTTTTTCATATTTTGTTGATTTTTTTTTATTATGATATAAATGTCGATTTATCTCTCATGTCGACGTCGAACTTATAAATACATGAACATTTCGATGGAAATGTCGATGTCGACGGATATTAAATACCATGCTCAAAAGTCACTAAAAACGATGAGAAATAAATGAGAAAGATCTCTTATTTTTCACAAAAAAATTCACAAATTTCTTTTATAACTTTCGGCCATTTGAAGAGGAGGGACTCAAAATTAGCCGTTGGCCACATGTTAGAATGCGATTGGAGGAAGGAATTTGATGTTGGAAAAATAATAAGATACTTGCACTAAAAAGAAAACGTGACTTTTGAGTAAGAAATTGACGACTCACCCTCTTCATCATTGATGCGCTAAGAAGAAATCGCAGACGGTTGTGATTGCTTTTCGTGGAGATGCATGTGAGTGGGCTAAAAATTTCTGTCCGGAACTTTTATTTCCCTTTTTTTTTTTTGAAAATTGAGATGCCACGCGTCCGAAATTAATCCATCATACTTGGATCAAATTACAACCCTTAGATATAAGGTTCACCAAAACTAATATACATGCCTCCGCCCTCCACCCTACATGTTGTACTAAAAAATAATATACATGAAACAAATCTTCAATTCAAAATGGATTTAATCTAGTCATTTCATATATTTATATGTAGGGAAAAATCCTTGCTCCTTCAATCAAATTTTATCCTTAGAATTATTTAAAAATTGACAAATTATTTTTTTAAAAGAAATTTTTACTTTTGCATTTTTCTCTCTCAATCGTAAAACATTTAATAGTGGTAAGGACAAGATTAAAAATAATACTACATGCATCCCTTCCATGGCTTTAAATATCCGTTGGCACGTCGACATTTCTATCGACATTATCCATGTTTTTATGGATTCGATATCGACATGAGAGGTAAATTGACATTTCCATCATATTACAAGAAAATCGATAAAATATGAAAAATATTAATAAAATGTCACTAATATATACATAATATTAAGATTAATTATTTTTAACTAATTTAGAAATAGAAAAATATTTATTTGTTCATTTAAATAATTTTTGCGAATTTTTTTTTATTTTTCTAATTTTTACAGAAATATCATCGATATCGACATTTTATCCATATTTTAATGAAATTGAGATCTCGACATTTTGATCGACATCGACATTTAAAACCTTCATCCATTCCCACATGAATATAAATAAAGCATTTCCTTATTTTCTTCCTAACTTTTCAAAACAAATAAACGAGGTGTCACGAAGATGTGAGCACCATTTAAGTATTTGATTGGAGCGTGAGCAATGAGCGGAGAGTGGGAAAAGGGTAAAGTTGGAGGACAAAGTAAAGCAACGGTCAAAAGATTTGAAATTAAAATCCCCGATTTTGAAAGGATTCCACAGGGCAACTTCAGAAATCTAATCTAATCCCAAAATGCTGAAGGCCGCCAAGAAACTCAAGTTCTGGTCCAAAGACAAGAAGAGAAGAAAGACTCGCGATTCCTCCTATCTTCCTCCTCCGCCGCCGCCGTACTGTTCCTGCTCTTGCTCTTACTCTGCGATCCGGCCCTCTGCTCCGCCGCTGCCGCCCTGGCTAGACGATCGGACTCTTCTCTTGCAATCGGAACCCCCAGCGGCCACCGGAGTTGAAGCGGCGGCGTCGTACCAGCAATACACGGCTCCGAATCCGGTGTACGGATTGCCGATTGTGGAAATGGGTAGCATAAGGACAAGGGAGAGATCTCTGTTCACCGATTTGGGCGCTAGGTTGATTAGGTGCTTCTGTCCATGTCTTCACGTTCGAGAAGCTTATTACCTGCCAGATCAGTGACTCAATCTCAATCTCACTTGAATTTCTCTTTCTGTATGTGATTTACTTTCCCTCTCTTCCATCTCAATTTCTTTATTATCACAAAAGGAAACCATACATGGATTTTAGCCTAAATATATATATATATTTTATACAAGTTTCATTATATATGTTTATTTACTTATTAATTTGGCATGATGTTTTACTTGCGGAAAGAATTTAGAAGTTTGCGTATTTATTAATTTTCAAGTCATGTGGTAAATGTAATTTGTATATGAAACGAGAATACTTACATTGTTCACTTGAAACATAACTCTCGTAACTGCTTTTATTTCATCCAAAAAGTTTAGATAATTATTCTCATCTATATATTATGGATCACCGCCTTTTCTAATCAATCTAATGTGGGACTTTATTATTTCTTAATAAGTCCTCCGAGTTATTTAAATGTGATATACACGCTTGTTTGCTTCAGCGTACTCATGTCAAGGTGTACTAAACACATGTTCAAAAATCAAAACTATGATTCCCGCGGGACAGGCTCTGTTTCAACCACCTATATTGTCTACTCTAAAATTTAATCTTAAAATACACACACTGTAGTTAAATACATGAAGCCCAACTAAGTAAAAGCTAAATCTACCACCGACAAAACTCACAGATAGAAAAATCCATGAAAATTCAAATAAATAGATAAAGGGAAAGAGTGGGGAAACTACGGGTACATACCCAAATCGATGAATTTGAAAAGTTAAAAATAAAAAAATAAATGGAACTCAACTGAATCGATTTTTCAGTTTATGTGAGTGTATGGGTAAATGGCTCAAACAAGCAAATTAGTTGAGAAAAATTGAAAATTACGTAAAACCTCGATCTACGGTCTAGCCTCCGCTCACGTTTTTAGAGAAAATAGTTTTATAAGTAATGAGAGATAAAACAGTGGAAAACATCTTTAAAACAAACCCTGTAGACATCAGGTGCAAAAAGAACTTGATTGCAAGAAGATATACAATGCTTGGTCAGGGGAGGTTTGATGACTACTTGGCCCCCCCATAGTAGGGGTGTTCACGGTTCAAGGGCCAAACTGAATTTGATAAAATGAAAAAATATAAACCGCACCGAATCAAATGTATTATATGAACCGAACCGAAAGTTCGGTTTGGTTCGGTTCGGTTTTGCGGTTTCTCGGCTTTCCAGACCTCTTCCTTATGGGCCCGTCTTTTGGTTCTGACTAGACAATTTTTGGACGGACGCGATGGTGGCGGTGGAGACGAAAATGTGTGATGGCAGTGACAGAGTAGGATATAGTTCGGTTATAGCCTTGAGAAAGAGTTGAGTAAAGAAAGTTGAGGGAAATGAAAAAGAAATGAAAGGGAAGATAAGAAAATTAAAAATTGAAGGGATAGAAAGTAATGGTGAGAAAGAATAAGAGTCCACGAAGAAGAAGAAAAGGGTTGAGGTTTGGAAAATGGAGAAGGAAATGAAAGGCAAAGTTGAAAAGATAGACAAAGTTGAAAGGATAGAAAGTGAAAATCTAAAAACTTAAAACAACCAAATAAAATAAAAAAGAAAAAAGAAGGTAAAAGTTACTTTAGCATTTTCAATTTTAAATTTTAAATTTTGAAATTTAAGATATTTATTAATTATTATTTAGTCTTTAAATAAAAGAAAAAATATAAAAAAATTCTGTCATGTGTGTAGTAACCCAAGGCAAAGGTCAATCTCAGCCATCCCATCCATGTAAGCTGTAAAGTAATTATTATTAATTTTTGAAAAGTGGCAAGTTATTATATATATGCACGTGGTTCGGTTCGGTTCGGTTCGATTTTAGATTTTATTCTAAACTGAAACCCAACCGAATTATTCGGTTTTAAAATTTTAACAAATCGAACCGAACTGAGAAACCGCTAAAATCGATTTTGGATTGGTTCAGTTCAGTTTCATCAGTTTGGCGTTCCCACAACTATGATGAATGCAAGTGCAAGTGTACACTATACTCGTCGCTTGTAGTATGAACGAGGTCGATCCACTGGGACTAAGGATGTTACTTTAAAACATGCGTTCAAGAATACCAAAAATGCAAATAAAAGATAAAAAATGCTTGTATAACTAAACTAAGTAAAATACTATAAAAATGCAGAAATGAAATCCAAGAGATAAATACTGTAATAACATATGCTGGGGCAAAGAAATTCTTTAACACAGAATGCGAATGAGAGGTTAACAGATATCAAAAAGATGGGGAAGATTCAGCATACTTTCACAAGTTATCAACCTACCCTCTAGCTTACTAGTATCTATTAATGCCCAGCTCGACTCGGTTCCCTTCCGAGACACCCCAAACATGAGTAAGTACAACTTCTGTTGCTAAATACCCAAGCAATAAACGCAAGCACTAGGCAAGATTAAGGGACCCCATTCCTGAGTATCCCAAAAGCTATAGAAAAGTGCTAACCACAAATAAAGCAAATCAGCACTCATAAGCTCTCCCGACTCAATAAAAAAGCTAGAAAACACGACAGAGTGACCAAGAATGTCACGCAAGATCGAAGAAATACAAAACAACTTTATTTAAAAATATATGCAGCAGCTAGAGGTTCAGTATCAAGTTAGTTACAACATATAAATCTCCCCAAAATGAAGTTTAATTCATGGAAAAAGGGAAAACAAGATGGGTAAAGGAAAGATACAACATATAAATCTCCCCAAAATGGAGTTTAATTCTAAAGATTGACTATTTCACGGTCTGGTCTTATACAAACTCATTGTATAGGATACCCCCACTCGCATGTCTCCACACGAACGACCTGGATTGAGTTGTCTGTAACCTTTATAGAGTGGGCCGTATCCATAGTGTTGCCAGGATAAGGTACTCAGCCTTATCCATATACTATAGACCCTTTAGGTTATTCACGGGACATTATCCACTTGTATATCAGGGTATATCAAATATATACCTCGTATATAAGAGGTATATCAAATATATACCCAGTACATATACTGACACTAAAATAACCTCGGATGTTTAGTTTATTGGATTTTGGACAATGCAATGCTATGAATTCAACAACAAATTTATTGAATAAAACTTTATTGAATATACATTTGTTTTTACACAAAATACAAACTACGAGTTTAGGGCAACACACCCAACAGATCCATGGGTGGGATAACTCATAATTAGTGTGCAATTCCATATTCGTTCTGATGCACGAGTATTTTTTAGTGAGTCAGTTAGTAGCAAATCTGAGTTTGAGTTTCAGGTAGTCATCAAGACGATGTCGGGTTTAAATGGGAGAGAGTGTTACCATTCAACGTGTGATAAATGGATTTTACCCCATTAGTATGTCATTGAAAATGATGACATGATAAGTGGGAGAGAATGCAACAACAGTACTAGAAGAGAGTATGTTGTGATGCCAACAAAGTGGACAAGTGGTAACAAGATGCATGTGTCGCCCATCGAGTCATCAAGGAGGATGATACATCACCTAACACAACAAAATAATGTGCGTGAGAAAGCCTAGTTAAGGCGCAAGCAAGATTGGAAGCAATGACATGATTAGTTGTGTTAGTGACAAGCTAAGTGAGGGTAGTTGAGGCCCTGGGCCATGACCTAGAAGTAATGGTTTCGTTGAGAGTTTAGATGATCAACTTTGAAGTTAGATGCATATTATTGAGATATGCATGCACACCAAGTTTCATGTCAATCAAAGTTCAAACGTGCGCTCTATGCTGGTGGCCGATTCCTCGCAACTTTGCATGTACAAACATGCCAAGAACAATAATACCTTAGAATGTACTATAGTAGGAGGCATGGTGTTAGCTCTCCACCACCCTTTGATTTTATGGCCTTAGCAAGCTACCCTATGGCACATATATGTGTCATGGCATGGGCGAGAGTTTCAAGACTAAGGTTTTGGGCGTCTTCCTTTGGGAATGAGAATCTCAAGGATAGTGTCGGATGGAACAGGTGTGCTAGCATTATGCCTCGTCCAACGGGTCGGAGGTTGCGACAAGGGGTCGATGTCCAGTACAATATGTTCAAATGACTTGGCACGAGCGCGTGGGTCGTCGTGTCATGATACTGTCTGAATGGATGGATGTTCGGGATAACTTCGATAAAAAGTAAAGGCCAGCGTCTCGATAAACATGCACAAGTAAGAAAGAAATATAAAGTCAGATGACACCTAAATGCTCGGGGTGGCATCGTAAAGCATTTGTTGACTCAATAGTGTCTCGGTTAAAAGGTTAAGATATTCCTTGTCCGATTGCCGGAATAATTATCCCGGGAAGACTTGGTAAGCTCATCAAGCTTGTTATGGCTTAGATATGTGGTAGAAATGGTCTTAGAAGCATTTGATTGACCTGATAAGCTAGTTATGACATGGTCAAGTGGCAAGAATCACCAATTAGAACCTTAAGCCTTATGGTTTAGAGTGTAAGCAAGGCGGTTAGAGACACGAAAGATTTAAAATGCACGTACATGCAGCGTGCATTACGAAGACAAGAAAGTTGCTCAAGTAGTGAAGCTCGATCAAGGAAGAAAGAACCTTACCTAAGGTCCGACGAAGCCACAAAAGGGGCGAAAAGTATATTGAGGCTAGAGTTCATTTTAAGGCTGATCATGATCAAGGTAAGATCATGTCGTCGCACAGTTGAACAAAGTATTATCGTGACATTGCGCACATTGGGCAACGGGCGATAGGCAGCAAATGGTGGAGGAGTAAGAGGTTATTGTTACTGAAAGGAGGAGGATGAGTAAGAGCAAAGGTCTAAAAGATAAACACAGAAGCAAAAGTAAGAACAACCGATTTAGTAATATTGAGAGTTTTCATTGTGGCATAAAAGGACATATGATGGAGAATTGTCTATAACTTAAGAGAAAATAAAAATGATAAAGGTAAGGAAAAGAAGAATGATGATGTTAATGACTCAGATAGATTTGTTGCAGCTACTGATAACTCTCCAAAGGAGAGTTATTCTGGTGTTTATTTTAGTGAAAAAGGTAGTAAAATATCTTAGTGTGTCGATTTCAGGTCATAAATAGCTAGAATAGT